AACCCTAATGATTGTGGGATTCTAAGTGAAGGGGATGTTCCCATACCTCTGCCACCCAGGTGGTTTGGGACATAGCCTCACCATGATGTCTGCTGGCTCTGTAGCTACACTGCATGGTAGGACACATCTGACAGCACCGTTGCCCCTCACATCATTTCCCAGAGCTCAGCTATAGCCACAGTCCAGCCTCATCAGCATTCCCATTATTATGGCCCCTATACAGCCCAGGCTGTGCTCAGCACTCCTATGCTATATGCCATACAAAGGGCTGCCCATGATCCAGAAGATCTTCTCTTTAAAGCACTCTGCTCGTGCTCAAATCAGCACTGTCAGCCTAAGCTGGCACCCAGTCACCCCCAGGGCCACCGTGCAAGGGTCAGACAGGTTTGCAGGTTTCCTTCTCTGGAGGGAAATGAGTTCCTTTAACCTCTTTGAGGAGCGCTCTTGCTCTCAGAGGGGAAGCACTCCTCGACACCCAGAGAAGGGTTGCTCTGACTTAAGCAAAACCACAATTTCTGTTCACTAGAAACCACTCCTTTGTATTTTTTTTATATTTAGGATCTAATAACTGTGACAGAAGGTTTCGGTTTTCTTGGTTTAGAAGAGTGAAACACTGATACCAAGAGTGGCTGCTGTTGCCTTGCCAGCACAGCTGCTCAACAAGTGCACTGGCAACCGAAGCCATCAAACCAAAAGCAGCAGACAGTCCTACTCTGCTGCCTTTCCCAGGACTGCCTGCCACAGTTCAGGGGTCAGGATCCCTCTGGGAAGGCCAAAATCCTTCTGGGATTGGTAATAAAGGAGTTTGGACTTGCCTGTGCAAAGGGGACAGGAAGGGAAAGAAGGATGGAGTTTTATACTAGATTGAAAAAGACAAAACCGGGAAAATATTAAAGCAACAGCATCTCTGTGAGCTAGCTGAATTCCTAGAAAGGTTTTTTTCAGAGCTTACAAAATGCCACTATGAGAGTAAGAACCAAGGAGAACTCGTCCTGGTATCCCTAAATCCTCCCAAATATTTTCTAGCTACACCCCACTGTAGCATCTCCCACAGTTCTGTTTGCTCTTTAGTTATTTGTTGCCTTCAGGGCTGAATTCCAGGAAGAGAGGTGCTGTTCTCAATGGGAATGCTGTTCTCAGTGTGGCTGGAGAGCAGAGGAGACACACACTTGATCCAGAACACGTCTCACGAGGAGCTGAGTTATTCCACAGTTGGTTCCTCCGTGGAACACAGGTCCATGAGATGCACCAAGTGAGACAACTTCGATGCAGTGGGGCTTAAAAACTCACGCTAAACTTTATTCCTTTTAGAAACAAGTTGATGGAGTTCATCCCACTGAGACTTAAAGGGTCATCAGGAAGAATTCTGGACAACAGGAGGAATTTCTTCACAGAAAGGTGGTCAGGTATTGGAAGGAGGTGGTGGAGTCCCCATCCCTGGATGTGTTCAAGAAATAACTCAATGCGGAGCTCAGTTGATATGGAAGGGTTCAACCAAAGGTTGGTCTCGATCCTGGAGGTCTTTTCCAACCTGTAACAATCCTGGGATTCTAAATTTGGCAGCTCATCTTGGAAATAACCAGGATCATACAAACCCTGGGAGGAAAAGGTGATCAGGTGGGAGGCAGGAAACACCAGGCTCGTGTCTTGTGAGACACACACGACAAAGCTCTTCTAAAACACCCCAGCACAGGGCAGGGCTTCAGTCAATCCCATAAAACCTTCCCTGAGTTCCAGCTCCAATCAAGTTCTGTTGAACATGGGTGGATTATTTTCTTTCTTGAAAGCAGGCAGCCAGACTGACACTAAAAACACACACTAAAGTCAAATTGCTCCAGCACAGCCTGGCTGCTTTGCCTCAGTGAAGATGCTCTTGCTCATGTTTTCCTTCTCCTCTTTCTTCCCATAGCCATGGAGCAGAGCTTGTACCTCCTCTGCTGGGAAAAAAAGGACTCTTTCCAACCCATGACAGCACTGTCCAAGATTTCACTCACACTGTTCCGTGCCAGCAGCCCAATTTTCACCCAAAACCAGTAATAACAACACTTTACACCCTTCAGCAAGGCAGTGAGTTTGTACACGACACTGGGCAAATATTATTCTTTCACATTCCTGCTAAAATATTTTGAAAGGATCAGGCAAGAAAAGTGAAAATGGGCAGTACCCAGGGATGTCATGGATTTGTCCTGCTGACAGGATCGAATTCCTTCAACGGGAAGGTGCTCACAAGACCTATCAAGACAATGCAATGGCAACTAAATTCAGGCTTTAAACCACTAATGCTTCCGAGGATACAGCTGGAAAAGTATCAGAAATAAAGAATATAGGTCACAGGGCCTTTCTGCTGGGGAAGAAAAGAGGTTTTCAAGTCATTACCCTGCTTTACCTCCTCTGCCTGCCCTTGCAAAACCACCCAGGATCAACAGAGCAAGAAATGACTTGGCACCACGAGGTCACTGGAGAAAGAGTCGGGCTGTGCAAACACTGCCCCGGGACTGCAGTGCTCCAGAAACACACCAGCACTTCTTGCCCCGAGCTCACACAAGGGTCGGGGAACAGCAGCACTAATTCTCTGTGAGACAATATTTGATGTCTTGCCCATGGTCTCGGCACCACGAAGCTCAGACTCCCTGGAACTGAGTCCTTGGCAGTCCCTCAGCTCCATTTGGGGCTCCACCAGTTAAACCCTGCTCTGGTCCTGGCTGAGAGGGTGAGAAGAGTAACCAGATCCCATCGCAGCACCCCCAGCCAGGCTGGAGCTCCTACAGAGGCTCCCATTTCAAAGGGTCAGCACTCGAGCATCCTCTCCTGTTCCTGGGTGCTGGGAGATCTTGGGAAGCGAGTTCTGCAGGTGTTTGTTTCAGTGAAACAGCCCAGCACAGAGCAGCTGCACAGCCCTGCCTGCCTCCTCTTTCACCTGAATTACACAAAACGTGAACTGAACACGTGTCAATACTCTCAACAGATGCTCCCCCTTTGAACAGAGTAACAGCACGCCCAAATTCAACCATAATTCCAAATTTTACTAGAAAAGCCAGCTCTGAACGCTGGTGCCCAGCAGGACAGCCACTGTCACCAGCCTCATGTCACCGAACACAGCGAGCCCAAGACAGCTCGGGGCAGCACAGCAGCCGCTCCACGGCAGCTGCTGCGGGCAGAACGTTTTGTCAGCGGGCAAATTCCCTGGTGGAGAGGGGCAAGAAGAGCCAAGCAAGTCCCCGAAAGCCGGAGGGAAGGAGGCAGCTCCGGAGCGGAGCCGTGTGTCCCCCCAGCCCCGCGGCGGTGCCTCCCTGCGTGGGCTCACCCTGCTCCGCCACCCAACACGTCACCAGGGCAAGACTCTTCCGGCCAGTTCTCCGCTGCCCGTCTGCCCAGGGGGACCCCGAAAGGGAGCCCTGCCTGCCGGTGCGGCGGCGGGACCGGCCGTGGAAGCCCT